TTGGTGGAGAGATGATACGTGACGGGTTTCAGGCAGGAACAAGACATGAAATGGATGGCAGTACTGCTGGCGGCTGACAGCACCCACAGCCAAGACAGACACCTGAAAAGCTGTACAGGCAGATCACCCTGACACTCATGAGAAGGAAACAACGGGGTGGCACAAGGCCAGTTACAACCCAGGGGTGCCTTACGGGGAAAGAGCTGGAGACTCCGTAGATCTGAGGAGGGGTTAAGGCTCCTCCTGTACATCTGGCGGAGCAGCAGCTGCGCTGCAGTGATCAATGCCAGCATTTGCCGCAAGGACTTGTTTCAGAGAGAGGGGGTGGGAGTAGGTGTAGGATCAGGGTTGGTTACAATGTGCCTTTTAGTCTTGCATTGGTTTCCTAATCTCTTCTTTGAAAAAACAGAGAGAGGGGGAAGAAAAAGTTTTGCTGTGAACCCGCAGGCCGTATTTCCCCTCAGATCTATCCAGCCATCGCCCACATACATGGAGGGATCTGTTCTTACCAAGCTCAAAGTGCCAGACATTTTTTTCCCCCAAAACCAGTTCAGCAGAAGTCAGCAATGAAAGCGATGAAACAAATGAAATGATGGTGTTAGAGAGGGTAACCTCACTTGCCTGTATGGCCTATATGCTCAAGTAGAGCATGCCTTACAGCTCTGATCCATCTGGCACTCAAACATGGACCCAGCCTTAATAATTCAGGCTGTGTGAGATTAAGCAAGCATGTAAAACAAGTGTATACTTAAGGGCCTGGCTCATCTGAGGTCCACAACAGCAAGTGCTTCAGGTCTGACCCTCCACTGGTCCGCAGCTGGCAAGGATATCTGTGAAGAACATCACCACATTGTGCCACTTTGTGCTCCCAGAGCAGAGGTTGAAATGGCCAGATTTCTGGGGGTTTTGAGAGAACTGGTGAAAAATGTGAGGGGCTGAAGTGAAAATATTGGTTGGTAAGGATGCGCAGAGTAAAAACAGAATTGCTGAACTAAAATCTGCTGGCAGAACTGTCGGCAGCCCAGGGTACAAGAGGCTTTCTGCAGCCATAGACTACACGAGAAGAAACAATTCACAGGTCTGGAGAAAGGGTCTGGAAAGCACAGAAACAAAAGGATAAGACTGATATGGGTAGGGAAATAGTAAAATGAGAAACAATGAAAGAGACAGCAGTAAAACATGCATCTGTCGTTTAATCCTGGGTAAATACCCAGATTAGTGACATTAGTTTCTGCTGTTTATTTGGAGCTTACTTTGGAGCCATATCTTTCAAGGCTAATGCAGCTGTGGAGTGCACAGTGAAAAGCACAGCCAAGGATTTATCCCAGCTATGGCTGGTTTTGTACAACAGAGGCATTAGGCAAAACTAAAGTTTGTGTGCAAAAGTTGTCTTTCCAGCCCTTGTGTTTATAAAAATAAAGATGCCATGAGCTGGCAAAGCAAGGAAATTAAAAATTTTCACAGTTTCTCTTAAAAAATTTTCACATAATTTCACAATCATTTGGTGCTTAGATGGTCTTTGAAGGTTATGAAGGCTAAACATGCATGCTGGCTCTTGATTCAGTTATGGGGCCTTGGCAGTGGGCTCCATCACCCTATGTACTGAAGCAAAGTGACAGTGCTCATCAAGCCAGGTCTTATTGCTAGTACAAGCCAAACTGTGTCAAGAGGAGGAAGAAGATGCTTTGTCTGAGATGATGGCCTTGGACAAGAGCCCAGGAGGCTGCTGGTGTAGCTGCTAGAAGGGTGAAAACAACAGGCACTACTGTGGCTAAAAGGGGTTTCCCCTGGAAGAAGCGGCTTGTGTCCTATGTACTCCACAGCAGCTCAGAAGTCTGGCTGAGCAAGCCAAAGGCAGAGACAAGCCATTTCAGGAGCATGCTTGGTTTGAGAAAGCCATCCCTGCCTTCTCTGGCAGCTGCGCACTGGGCATTAAAGCTACTGCTCCCCCTAAGAAGTAAGCAGCCATTTTGCCAATTTTCATTGTTTCTGGGGTAACCCAGAAATCATCATCTTCACTGTCCCACAAAGGCTGGCTCCGGTTTGCTCACTAAAAAATATATAAAAAAACATGGTCTATGCAGAAATGTACTTTTTTTTTTTTTTCATAAAAAATGACTTGGTTTTGTCCTTGCATTTAACTAGGTCAGCCCACGAGAAACATCCCACCAGCTGCTCACCTGATCCCACTGCAGTAATCATCTTCCTTTTCTAACCTGTTAAGAGCAAAGCTGTAAGGTGAGACATTTTAATGAGTCCATTGATGTTCTTGGAGATAAATGCATTGGGTTACTGCTGGTTTTGCCACTTGCCAGCAGGCTAGGGGAGGCTGGTCCACAGCAGTTAAAGCGTTACAAAGCACCAGAGGCAGCTGGCATCTACTGAGAAAGGCACATGGAAAACATGACGCCAAGCAAGTGGGGCTAATTAACACCAGTTTCTTAAATTAGAAGGCTTTTAATGGCTAATGTTTAAAAATAACACCTTAATGACACCTAAAAATAGGTGCTGCCAAGCCCCCTAGTATTCTGACCTTCATTAAAATGGGAGTCCATTTCCCACGACTGGTGGTGTAAATCACATTTACCTTTTATATTCTGTTCTCCCTGGGATTAGCTGCAAAGCCTGATGCCTGACCTTGAAAGCCTATTTGCAAACATGCAAGAGTAACCTCAAGCACTCTTCTGAATGGTGTGCAATATACCAATACAATGTGTGGGCTGAGTAATTGGATAGAGTATAATCTCAGGTTGCACCCTTCTGCAGACATGCACAGGGAAAAATACTGAGGGAGTGGGGGACCATCAGATCAGGCAGACACCAGGGATGTGAAGCAGTGCTGGGCTTAGGGCCTGGGAGACATGAGCTCCATGTCCAGTTTGGTTGCAGATATCCTGTGCGACTTGAGTAAGTCGCTCATCTTCCCTCTGTGCTTCAAAGCACAGCCCCTCATGGTCCTGAAGGGGTACTACCAGGATAATTTCTCTAAGGTGTCTGGCATGCTTAGATACAACAACAATATGCCTCACAGGAAACAAACAGTAACATCAAAAGGGAAAATACTGCTTAATTTTCCTTACGTTTAATATGTGAGCCAAATACAAACAGTCTGGAAGGCAAACATATGTTGAGGACTTCTTCTAGAGCTATTATCCAAGCATGTGGTGGGAAAAGAAATAAGATTATCTCCAGTACTGCTGGAGATGACCATTTGCTTGCTTTTGCTGTGCTCCTCTGTGCTGTGCTTGGCCCTAACCTGTGTCCTGTCATATCACAATAGTCTGTGATAGCTGGTACAAAGAGAGAAATCTGCAGCTTGACTTACCTCAGAGAACGCAGACACATCCCATGATACTTACCTGGAACAGTTATTTCTGACATAAAACCCTCAGTATTTGTCTCACTATTTGAAAATTGGGCAAATTAACAACCAAATAAATTTAGTTACTTTTATTTAAGATTATGTAAAGGGTATCTGAAAGGCCAGAAAGTCCTAACAGTATGAAAATGCCTTCCTAAAGCTAGCTACACCAAAGGAAAGCTGGTCTTTGGTTTTTATCTTCCCTTCCAGTCAGAGGGTTGGGAACTTCTCTGCAAAGCATTCCTCTCTATCCTATGTCTGCGCACAGCAGACATGCTCTAAACAAATGAAAAGGAACATGTGTAAGTACAAGACTGTCCTGCCTAGCCCATATAATCCATGTGCCTTCCAATTTTTTTCCTTTCTTTTTCTTTTTTCCTTTCCTTTTTCTTTTGTTCAAGGCAGATTCTGGATTGTTTCAGGAAGAGATGCCCAACCTTGCTATGGAGAGATTGGTGCATACTGTGACAGTGTTCTGGAGACAAACGTCAACACTGATAAACACCTCAAGCACTCCTGCCTCATTAGTGAGATAAAGGGAATGTAAACCAGCTTTCACTTTTCTCCCTCTGCGTCATTTTGTCATTCTAATGGTCTTCATTAGCTTGGCCAGATGGTTTTACTCCCTTCGCCTGCTCAGGCCGTCCTGCAAACACTTATGCTTTCTTCTACGCACATGCGTTCAGCATATGCATGGGTCTTTGTAGAATTAGAGCCTAAATTTGTTTCTGTTTCTGAATTCCAAGTTGGATTTTGATGCAATAGTTATTTTATATATTAAAATATCAGGTTTCTGCCCACACACATAATGCATGATGTATAACAGACTTTGCAAGGCAGCCATTGGAAAAGACCACTTAATTTGCAATTTATACAGAAGGAAGAGTTATTTACTATTCCTTGTTTTTCATCTAGAATTTATACATGACCGAACTGTGAAGGTGTTGCTCCTCAGAAGCTCCATGATGTACATCTGGTTTCACGTTCTGTCATTTCACCCACAACCTAAAATCATAAGCTGAAACTCCACAGAGGCTAATGAAAATTATTCCCCTTTGAGTTGCTTTATTAAAATGCAACCTCAAGAAATACTGGCAAGTCAGGAAAGCGACTTTAATCCAATACTTGTTATCCTCTTCCACAGATTTTAAATCACTCTCTTTGCTCCTTACTTTGAGCAAATATATCCTTATTGTTTTCCTAGTCCTGCTATGACCTTCTGGGAATGTTTTCATCATGTAAAGTAACCTGCAGTTCTCTACTTCATAAATCTCATTCATTCCAAGTGTTAACACTAACTAATTCTCTGCTTTAGAAAGAAAATTATGTTTGTTTTTTTGAAGAGTCTGCTGGGAAGAGGAATATTTGCATTTAAAACATTTTTTTCCATTTCATAAATTGTCTTGAGTTTTCTTCCCAGCAGGCAACAGAGGACTGTTTATATAAGCGAAGAGGGAAACTTGCTTTCCCATTACTTCCACAAAAGTACGATTAACAGCGATAACTATGCTAATTATTGAACTAACTGCACTTGGAAGGCACCTTACTGGCTGGAGAGGTAATGCATTTGGGTAATAATTAATTCCTTTTTTCCTCAATTACCTTTTATTAGGAGAGCAGAAGGTGTCAAAGTAAAACAGCTGCATATCTTCCAAGAAAAGCTCATGTTTTCCGAAGGAATTCAAGCGGAGGTGCTTTATTAAGAGAACTAGGCAGGACAAACATTAACATGGCAAGCTCGGCTGTTCAGTTACTTGGCTTCTCCCTAAGCCTGCTCGGCCTAATTGGAACATTAATTGCTACTATTCTGCCACACTGGTGGCGAACGGCACATGTAGGCACCAATATTATAACAGCTGTGGCCTATATGAAAGGGCTTTGGATGGAGTGTGTTTGGCACAGCACCGGCATCTACCAGTGCCAAGTCCACCGCTCCCAGCTGGCGCTACCCCGTGACCTCCAAGTCGCCCGTGCCATGATGGTAATTTCCTGCGTCCTTTCCGCGCTGGCATGTGTGATTGCTGTCATTGGTATGAAGTGCACTCAGTGTGCCAAGGGGACTTCTGCCAAAGCCTCCATCGCAGTCTCTGGGGGGATCGTTTTCATCCTGGCTGGTCTTGTCTGCCTGGTACCTGTTTCTTGGACCACTAACGACATTGTTATAGATTTCTACAACCCCGTGCTTCCCAGTGGGATGAAGTATGAGATAGGTCAAGCTCTTTACCTTGGCTTTGTCGCCGCATCTTTGACGATCATTGGTGGTGCTCTGCTCTGCACATCAAGCCAGTGTCGTGGGAATGAGACACCTTACCAGACACAGCCCAGCAGCATAAGAAGGACTGCTCCCTCCTATCGACCACCAACTGTCTACAAGGGAAACCATGCTTCTTCCCTGACATCTGCTTCCCATAGCGGCTACAGATTAAATGACTATGTGTGAGTTCCCTAACATTTGCCTGTGAGACACAGCTGCTTTATAATTTCTGTGCATGGCATAAAACAAAGCTAAGCTAACTTCTAAGTTATAAGGGTTACAATACAAAGTTTACCATTGTTTGTTTCTTCCTTTGCTTTCTTTCTGGAGAAAGAAAGAACGTGAACACAAAACTGCTTGCTGCAAAACCTGGAAAACAAATACAGAGGAGGCTGTGGTATTCCAGGGACAGCACATACCTGCCTACTTTCAATTAGAGTTTTCCAGGCAGCTCAAGAGCTGTTTTGCTAGACGTAATGATTTTGTTTGTAGTTTCCGTCCTGCGACAACCACTAAAGTGGAACTGGCCTCAACTTGTTGTTTGAACAGTGTTCCAACAAAAGATGCCGTCTTGCCTAAACCAGAGAATTATGTGGCGAGACACAGTGATTTTCCAGCAGTGACTGCCTGCTAAGTTTCTTTTTTCCATAGTGCATGAATGATTCGTTATGACAAGGTATTACTTTTGCTTTGACTTAACTTTTTGTTTGGTTTTTTTATAGTCCCTTGAAATATGGATTTCTATAGCATTGTGACAGATGTATTTGACAGTATGTTATAGCCAATATTTTAAATTATACTATAATGTTTTGACCTTATCAAAATAAAATTTTAGCACATTTTTAAAACAAGACAATGCGTCATAATGGAAACAAACCATCTCTGTGGATCAGAATTGGGTCTTTAGAAATGTTGGGAGTAGAACAAAACTGGACATTTGATGTTAAACTTTAATTAAAAAAATAGAAAAAAGCAAGTATCAGAATTTGTCAAAGAATGGGTATTTAGCTCTTCATCAGATTTAGCTGTCTGTATGCATTATACAGAGCAGAAAAACAGTTTCTAGAATCCTGTCCCCAAAGACCATGTGATGAAATGTACTAATTTCTTAGGCTTTGTCCTGGATCTTTTATGCCTGGGATCCTGACTGATGGTGCATTAGAGTTAGTAAGAATATTCCCATCTACTCCAGCAGCATTTGGGGCACTTCCATTCACCCAGGCTTAGGTAAACAAGGCAGCCTCTGTGCCAGCAGAGGTTACACTCAGGGTTTGTAACTGTTGCCGGTCAGGTTGAGTATAAAATCAAGGCATTTACTTCTAAAATGCTTGCAAAATGGAATCATTCCCCAGTGTGTTCAAACAATTAAAAACCAAACTAATGAACAAAGAACCCCAGCCATCTCCATTTCATGTTACAGCACAGTCCAGTGCAGCACACACTGTGGTATACAACTATGACAAATACAAAAAAGCTGTTAATTTTCCGTTAACCCCAGAAAGTGATAGGTGTCTCCAGAGCAATGTATGGACCAACACACTGACATTTAATAGGGTTAAAAAAGTGCTTCCAAGACCTGTGAGGCAACTACACTTGGTATACTTCATTTGGCAAAATGCTTCTTTCCAATTACGTTGCCACCTTGTAGCACCTCCAGAGTTGGGATCCTTCCAACATTTCCCCTGGTTTCATTCTGACCCTTCCTTTTCATGCCTGACCACCTTGCCATTTCTTTTCCTGTTGGCTTGAATTGTGACAGTGTTTTTCATCATGGGTGTAAGTTATCATCATCACTAGTTTTAAAAAACAAAATGGCATTTCTGAGCAATTTGCTGAAACACAGAGTAATAAAAAGGATCTGGGACCAGGCTTTGGTGATTGACCATTAACAATGGATTATGAACTCCTGTTTTATTAAGTGTAGCTATTACATATGATGTGAAAGAAAACCATCTTAATAACAGACTATGGGGCGCAAGGAACAAACAGAAACTGCTTTGTCAAGGACTTCTTAGAGAAGATGGAGTCAAACTGTTCATAGCCCACTAGAGTTTTTCTGGGATGCCTTTTTAGGACAAAAGGTAGCTTAATGAAGGTGGTCAGTTATGTCGTGTTTTTTCTGTATTTGCATTACAATAGGTCTAGCCAAGTGATTACAGTATCAACTTCAAATAAGGGCTTTGGACAGCCATGAATACTGGAGCACAAGTCCAAGTGTGGGAAATGGGCTTGTGTCTCATTAGGTAGTGTGTTTGCTATATACTGATAAATGAATTCACTTGCTAAGATAATTTGTGCAGTGGGAATACTTACATGTAATGCTATTCTTACCACACAAATTCCCAGCCAAGCAGGGTATGTGACAGTAGTAAGAACAGCTTATAAAGTCTTCTTAAAAATACCTGGAAGTGCCCACATGTCAATGAAGAGAGGGAAACAGTTTCTTTGCCAGGGGGCTGTGAACCAGTGGATCTTGCTCCATGCTGAGACTGACATAAATTTATTCTTCTTTCTTTGTTTTTTTAAGCTGGTACTGGAAACAAAAAACATATCCATTCTAGCAGCCTTAGAAGTCTGGATGCACCTACCCCAGACTGACGTATGTGTTGATAACTCAAGCTCCTCCCCTGCTCCCCTGCTATCATGGAAGCTGGTGTCCAGACCTTGCTCCCTGCTTGTGTGGGGCCTGCCTTGGCAGTCCCATGCAGGCAGTGCAACTAGGTACTGCTCAGAGACGTAGCCAAGGAATGAATCTCCACTGCACCTCCTTTTCTGAGTCACCACTTGGTCACTGGTGGCATCGATATGAGTGCCAAGGAAAAGGGATGAGTTTCCTTATCCATCAAGGTGCTGTTTGTGGGAACATGCTCTTTGGCAGCTGTAACTCAGCAGGAGGGGAACTGGACAGGGCTATGGAGGAGTGCTGCCACATGCCACATTCCATTCTGCCTGCATGCATCCATTGGGTTTTTGGAGAATCCAAAATCTGGAAGCAGATTCTTTTGTTACTTGTTTTTTTAGATATCTACTTTTTGCCTCCAGCTCATGGGAGCTGAAGTGCCAGCCTGCCCTCCCAGTGGAGGCACTGCAGGGAGGCAAGGATGGGATCCAGGGCAAGCAGAAATTCCTTTTAGCAGTGCAAGCATTGTCTGCGAGTGTGATTGTGGTTACACTGTGTTTTAATCAACTTCAGTCTGACGCTCCTAGAGGAGTGGGATGGGAGACTTGGCAGGGAGGCATAGGAGGAGGACAGGATTTGGCAGCAAGAGGATATTGTGGTTAGCTCTACAACACCAGGGCAGAGGGGGGATTCTGCTGCAGGATCAGGTAGAGATGGAGGCACCTGAGGTAGGGATGGAGGCTGGGCTCAGAGAGGGCACTTTGCTACTGAAGTGATGAGATTCCATTTCCCCTGCCTTTGCTTCCCTAGCTTCCAGCCACCACTTTGCACTCTGGCTCTCTTTCTGGACCAGTTTGCCTTCTTTAAAAGGCAGAAGACAACTACATCAAAGATTGGGATAATTTTTTGACATGGAAATTAGCTAACCTAGCTATTGGAAAAGTGTGAGTAGAGCCACAAAAGGGATGCGTGGAAGGGCAAGGGGTGTGGGAAAGGAAGAAGAGTAAGGACTGGAGTAAGTGAGCAAGGATTTCCCTTTCGGTAAGCATGGAGTCAATTGGCCAACAGACAGGCACAGCTGTCTTGAAAACTAGCACCTGAGATGCACTGTGATGTTCACTGTCACAAAGCCAGCCAATGTCACTGGCAGACAGAAGCTCACTGGGTCATGAACTGGTTGGCATTTTTGGTCTGTTTTCTCCACAATACCCAGTGCAAGTACTGGAGTGAAATAACTGATAATCCATAGCAAAACTTAACTCATTTCTTCAAAAAGTGTGTCTGAGTTAACTAATAAGATGAGGAAATTAACTAAATTCAGTCATTAGAAGTTCATCCAACCTAAAACAGAAGTTCTTCCCTGCAATTAGCTGGTAGTTAAGGTTTCCACATCAGTGTATTAAGATTAATGAAAACTGTGTCCACCTGTAAACATCTACTGCTAGTTTACTGTTTACTTTGCTGTCTATCCCCCAGGATAGTTTGCATATGTACAAATGATGGGCAATAGTAAGGTATGTCATGAGGCTCAGGAGCAGCTTAAAGAAGACCTTTTTCTTTTCTCCCCAGCTGATCTACTAGAAGATATCATTCCTTCCTTGCATGCTTTGCTGTGCTGTGCAACATAAGAAATATGCTGTTTTTCACGTGTTTTCTTCAGAAATTATTCATACAGCTTAGTCCATGTGTTCTCATTATCCACATTTCCTATTCTTACCACTAACTGAGCACCTGGTCATGTTGATTTCCATTTTAATTTGTATCCATTCCTATTCTCCTACCTAGGACATGTTTGAAGCTAGTGATAATCCTTGAACCAGGCTTGATCCTGACCAAACATGACTCAACTGAAGTCATGTTACCTTTTTTTTTCACAGTAGATCTAGATAGGTATCCCCCTTCACTGAGAAACCTGCCAGTTTGTAAGAGAGCTTTCAAAAAACTCAAACATCCAAATGGGCTTAAAATACTCTTAAGAGAAGAAAGGCAAGATATACTGACCTCCCTCTTTTTTCCTTCAAAGATTTCCTGTGGGAAAAGGTTGTTAATTTTATTTTCTGCTTTAAGCATGAGGAAAATACATTCATTTCATTAGCTCCCTCCTAAAAGATCTTTGGTAAGCAAACTGTTAGAAAGCAGAGTAAATAAAAAGAGAGAATCAATACACAGATTTGATCTGTTAAGAGCGTATGAATATACTTCTTATATATGTGTGGATATATAAAATGGGGAAATTCTGGCTCGATCGACTTTACTAAGGTCAGAATTTCACCCATAAGCTCATTATTATTGTCAATACTTCCAGATCTATTACAGAGCTTTTAACTAAAAGGCCTCCAGAGCAAAGAGAATCAAAGTCATGGGAGTTTTGCCCCTGTAAGAGAAATGGAAAGGGAAGACTGGAAATGGCCCTTTCACAAAGTGTTTCATATTGAGCAGAGTAGTTGCAACCAGTGGCATGTACAAGAGCCCTCCCTTCCACTCAAGTCAAGGACAATCAATTTTATTTTTAAAATGTCATAATCACTGGTATTGATCAACACTCCCCAATGTGGGTGCACACGAATCCACAGTGGCTTGGGCTATTGCCACTTCCCCAGCAATTCAGGCTCAATTAGGCTGCCTTGCTAATGCATGTCAGCTTCATTTAATTACTCTCAGGCCCGCAGTGTGAGAAAAGGGCAAGCTGACAGAGTAATCCCACACTTCCACTTTGCAGTGAGCTGCCTATTTGTTTTATTTGTTCACATTTTAAAGGGCTAAGCACTTGTTATATGGAAAACACAGGAGAGCAAAAGTCAAGAAGTATTAATAAGCCTTGGAAAACAGAGTTAGAACTCGATTGCTTGTGCAAAGAATTGCTGATGTTTTCAGTACTTTGAAATTAGGCTGGATTTTGTAGCTAGGGTGCTAATGAGTAGCATTTCTCTTATGGAAAACTTGGTAAAAATTGAGTGGAAGCAAATGTCTCCTAACACTAGGGAAAACAGCCTTTTTATTCGTTGTTTGGCTTATGATGATAACATGGCAGAAGCAACCTCTAAAGGTAGCTGGTAATGAGCTGAGGTTATAGTTTCTTCCATAATATTTAACATTAACGTTAACAAATGTTAATAAATTAGGAGACAGGGAAGAGAGGGATGGCAGCAAGCCAGCAAAAGGGAAATAGCCATTAATCACCTAAGATCTCTAATCTATGAAAGAAGCACATGTGCAGCTCACATTTCCCACAGCAGAGCAGCTGTGAACTGAAACAAAGAAATAACCTGTGAGTACCAAAGTGCCTGGCTGTATACAGAAGCTCTTGGGCCTTTGCATCTAGATCTGAAACTAAATACTGGAGGAAGAAAAATGCAGGCAAAAGACCTCCAGGGGGACTCCCTAGGCCAGGGTGCTCCCTTTATAGTTGGCCTATATGGGCTTGGCCACCTTCCCATCACCTGAGTAGAGGTTAGGTTTCCTGCAGGAATAAAGATATCAGAGTAATGCTTAGAAGGTGGAGAGGACTCACTGCCATGAGTCCTGAACTACCAGCTCCAAAACCTGATGCATGCCTAGGGAATCAGACCTGCGTCCCATAAGAGGCAGACTAAGGTCTCACTGTGTTTACCTGCAGAGCTGTGCCTTGTGTCATGTCTGACAGAACTATAGTAGGAAAACATTAAAAACGTAATACAAAAAGAAACTCTGATAGCAAGGATGATGTGATGTCTTGCCTCTGTTTTTCTGTTTTTCATTGATTTCTTATTTTCTTTTCATTTCCTAGCTATGACAGGCCTCTCTCTTGTTCCTGGTTTCCTCTGCTCCAGACTCGGCAAGTTGCTTGGCTTATGAGTTTACTTCT